AACCACCCTTTGCCTTTGCACTTACTGCCCTAACCAACATGTTCTTCCCAATTAATACGTTTCTTTACCTAAATCACTTCCTGTGTCTGTTGTGTTTCTACCCCAGTTTCCATGCTCCATCCCTGGAAGCACTCCAGGTCTGGTTGGATGGAGGCTCTGAGCAACCTGGTCCAGTTGAAGATGTCCCTTGCTCACTGCAGAGGGGTTGGAGCCAGGTGGCCTTTAAAAGATCCCTTCCAACCCAAACCATTCTGTGATTTCAGCCTTTCTTCTGCAAACCTGTCTGTGCAGAGAAGCTTAAACCTATCTTTTGAGTTTTCCAGGGGGATAGCTGGAAGGAGGTGGGAAAGTTTCAGTGGGTTTTCCTCTTTCCTCTGCAAGTTTGCAGAATCAGGCAGAGTAGTGGGATGCTTCTAATCCTGAAGTGACTACAGCAGATCCTGCACTGTTATACCTCAGGAGCAGAGCAGAAGCTTTAAGAAAATTATTAATGGTCTCCTAGATTTCTAATCAGAGACTCAGTGAAATCTCAAAGCTGCTTCAGTTGATTTGTGGGTTGGTTTGTTTCATTTTTTTAATGGACTTTCCTCTTGGTCTTCAAAATCTTCCTCATCTCTCAGAATAATTTGACACTAAGGCAAACCTGGTGTCTTTTGAAGTGTGATAACAACCAAAAGGCAGGTAAAACTGGCTTCCTGCAGCTCCCATCTGTGGAAGGTTCCCTTGCTAGGTCACACCTACCCCCAAACCTCTAGGTAGGTGAACCAGTGAGTCGTGAGGAGGGCCAGGCTGGATAGATCTCAGGAGCCAGAGAATGCATTGTGCACCCAGATCTAAATTGCCCTGGACTGATTTGGAGCCAGGGGACACAAAGAGGGCTTTAATACTGCAGTGAGTGGAGCTTCACCCAGTGGGGAATCTAATCTTGGATCTTGTCTCAGCTTTGAATGGCTTTTTCCATATTTTTGATGTAGATGACATTGTTCAGCTTTGCTGGTGATTTTACTCCACAGACTGCAGGAGCTAAATTCACAAAGATGAAGAGCTGTGCTGCTTTTAAGATCAAGACTTGGCTTTTGATGTTTGGTCAGCAGGGAGAGAATGTCTGTCATTGGAGATCTTGATCCAAACGGGCCTGCATTGAGAGACAAACTTGGGTGGATGGTTTTAGTGTGGTGCTTAAGGCCAAGTCACAAAACCATGTGAGGATGGTACATTTTCTAGTTTTCAGGGATGCTGAGGAGAACCTTTGGGTTGCAACACCAGCAGGGCTGGACTGAGGGTGTTCAGAGCTGTCAAGCTCTTGGTTTACTGTCCTGGGATAACAGGTCTGGGGTTGGACTGACTTTGTGATCCAGTTCTCCAGCAGATCCCTGTCTGGATGCTTTCCCAGCACACGTCCTGGAGCAGATGCTTTCTTTCTGAACTGGGACCTTGCTGGCCCAGGCTCAGCATCACTGCAAGGGGGTCACAGCTTTTCCTGACTGCAGTTTACCTCTTCCAGGACATGTGGCATTGCCCAACATGTGTCTTGCACAGGCCTGGAAAAGTTTAGCTTACAAATCCACAGCCTTGTGCTGCTGTTTCTTGCAACCTCCTTTGGCCTTAGTTCAGGATCCTTTAGGTTGTCACGGCTCATTCTGCTGCTGGTGCTTGGCTTTGAAACAAAGGGGCTCTCTCTGCCCTCTCTCCTCAGTCATTGCCCTTCCAGGTCTCTGTGACAGCAGTTCCTTTGGGTTCATTCATCTCTGCAGGGTGGAAGTTGGCTGAACAGACAGGCACGTTAGGAGCTAACAGTAATACCAAGAGATTAGGGAGTGCTTTCCAGCCAGAAGGTCTGAGCCTTTTCCAGAGGAAGTTGATATTATCTTTGTAATATATTGTGAAACTGAGGCTAATGCCCTCTCTGCAGCACTTGGGCTGGAGCACAGGTCCCTGACACCCACCCCAAAATGCTACCCTGGCTGTTCTTTTCCTCTCGTTTGCATACCTGACCACACATCTGATGGTCTCAGTGCTGCCTTCCCTTACTGCTTTGGGAGGAAAAGAGGGAATTGTGCCCTTCTCTCCATGGTCTCAGTCAGATGTGTGCTGTCACATGGCTTTTCTGGCTCTGCCTGCTTCTCCCAGTCGTTGCTCCAGAGGCGGAAAAACATGCTGGAAGAGTTATTGCTTTTCTCCTTTTTATTTGATGTTCTTTGCCTGTCTCTGCAGAGCCATTTAGATAAGGGGATTTATCAAGCTTGAACTAATTAACCCTGGATGCAGGAAGTCAGAATGGAGTGTTCCAGCTGTGAAATCCTCAGACTTACCCTGAAGCATAGATGGGTCTGAAGGAATTTCACATCTCTTTTCCCTTGTTGGCAGATCACTGTGGGGAACTTTGGCTGTTGCCTTCTCTCACTAACGTGCCATGAGGGTGCTGAGTTGGCTGCTCAGTACCCAAACTGAGTGTGACAGGATTGCATGTGGCATTGGGTGTCTCTGCTGCCACTTCAAGGCTCCTGTTCTTGGAGGTTTTTTCCTCTACTGAGAGAGGGTTGGGTTTGTAACAAAGCCAGTAATTTTGCCTGTAGGAAGATGCTTTAGAATTTGTTGCCAATTGCTTTCTCAGTGCACAACTGGCAGCCAAAGGGTGACTTCACAAAAAAAAAAGGAGGGAAGCAGCTACCTAAAATGTTGAGAAGCAAAAAAGGAGGGGAAAGGTTGTTTAGCTGCCTGCATGAGGCCTTCAGAGCCTTCCCTTGTTTATGTTGCCATGGGCCCAGTGGGTCTTCCGAGAATGGCAATCTAAGAGTTTAAAAGTCTTGGTTGGGTTTTCTGATGTTCCCTGGCTGTGCTTGGTGGTGTCAGGCTGTCTGGGGAGTGCAGCAAGACTCTGATCCCAAATGTGTCCTGCCAGGGTTAGAGAGTGATCCAGGAAGAGCTGCTGAACTCTGCACCAGATGAGACCTCTGTGACACACATCTGGAATCAGTGAAAAACACAAGGGTCTCCAGCAGAGCCCAAGCCAGAGAAGAGAAATAACCTTGTGGCCTACCTCAGAGCACTGATCCCTTGTCAGCAGGCGCAGAGCTGAGTCCTGGTTCACATGGGAATCCTTTGCAATCCTCCTATCTCCACGGCCATGAAGCTCATTCCCTCCTGCAGGAGGGATGAAAGGGTGGGAGGGAGGGATGTCATTCAGACAGATGAAGATCTGTCACACTTTCATCCTTGTGAGGAACTGCAGCTCCAGATTTAGTGTCTCCTTTGGGCACCAACCCATTTGCAGTGTGTCTGACTGTGTGAAGGTCAGCAGTGTGGGTGAGGAGCCCCCTGATAGTTCAGCACAGACCTTCCCCTTGAAGGGGCTGATAAGGGCCCAGGATTGCAAGTCAAGAGGTGGTGAACAAGGAAGACATTCCTTGCAGCTCAGAAAGGTGCACAGTTCCTGTGTGCTGGGGCAACAACACCTCTTTCTTTAAGGAGCATTTTGTGTTAATGCTGTGAAGTTTGCAGACACATTTCATGGTGCTTTTTTTTTTTTGTTGTTGGAATTCTCTGCTTAGGTTATTTTTTCATCTCTTCCCCTGTGCAGCAGAACTGTTTGCTTCTTTGTGACCCAGACTGGGGAAATAGAAATAGTCTGGGTTAAGGAAAAAAAAAAAAAAGAAAATATGAGGTTTGGATAGGACTGCTTGAAGGTGGATTGGTTCCCTGGGCCATGTGTGGTGGGAGATGAGGGAGGGACGTGGGGTGAGCCATGCCTTGAGCTGCTGTTGCTGTCAGGAGCTCTTGGCCAGGTGTGGACCAACACTGGAGAGACACATTCAGTGCCTTCATTTCACCTCTTCTTGACTGCAAGTAAAGCTTGACCCCAGTGTAATTCAGCCCCTGTTCATTTGGATTTTTGCTGTCTTTTCCAGATTGCCAGACAGGAAGGAAGAGTCATTTTAACCTCTGGACTCCCATATCAGACTGTAAGTGTTCTGAGCTGCTGCATGTTTCTGGCATTGTCTCACTGCCTGGGCTGGGCTGTGCAGGGGGGAGAGGAGGAAAACTCAGATGTGAAGGCAACAGCTGGCTTGGCTTTTTCATGTTTTCTGCACTAACAACTACATTAAGGCTCTTGAGAGTTTGCTGTTCTCAACCACCAAAGCTTGGGGTGAAGTGTTGTTTTATACTTACTCTCAGTCCCACATCAGTGGGGAGAGGGATTGCTCTCCTTGGAGGTGGAAATCAAGCCAAGCAATGCAGAGCAAAGTGTTTCTGTTTGGCCTCACTGGCAGGTGAAAGGCAGCTCCATCCTTGTGCTTATCCCAGAGATTCTTGTTTACTGACTGACAGTTTCAACACTTCAAAATGTTTCTTCAGGCTTGGAAGGGAGAGATTGGAAGTCCCCAGGCATGGGTCCTTGTGGAAGCTGCAGGGGTTCTGTGTTCCTACAGATACACAAAACCTCAAAGCAAAACCCAGCCTGACCCTCAGTGGTTGAGAGCCCTTCACAGACACCTCCAAATGCAGTTGTTGGTTCTGCTGACCCTGCCAACTCAGGGGTTGCAGTGTTGTGATGGCCTATTGCAGGTCCTTTTCAATTTGTTACTAAAAATTCATTTGGAAGAGTGAAACAGTTCTGAATGAGTTCTGTTCCCATGAGCCACAGTGCAGGACTTCTTTGTCACACACTCAGTATACAGTTCTCAACTACTCCAGCAGCCACTTGGAGTATTTGCAGGATATAGGTTGCTAATTTCCTACCTTATAGCTGAGCATGGAGGAAAACTGCCCCCATGATGAGACAGTGTGAGGCAAGTGCAGCTGTGCCACACTGCAGGTTCTGTATCCAGACTCTGGTTCCTTGAGCCTACAGCTGATGTAATAGGTAATTCAGCATCTGGCACAATCTTATTTAGCAAAGCTTTAACTTAAAAGTAATGTGTAGGAATTGCAAAAGGAAAAGAACTGTTTCCCAGTGTACATTAGTACACTGGGAAATGTCTGGTGCCATTTGTTCCTTTGGATGCTCTCCATGGGGACAGGATAGCTGTGCCAGGCTCCTTCACTGGTATATAGCTGATCCCACCTCTCTGTGAGTACTCAGTATGGTCATAGGGATGTGTCTGGAACTTCCCAGTACTTGTTCCCAGTTGCAAACTTGGCTGCTAAAAATGTGGAACAAACATCAAGTATTGTCCACATCAACCCCTTCAAATTCCTTGCTCATCAGGGAACTCCAGGTGAAATGTTAGTGTGAAACAGAGGGGCTGAAGTGGTCATTGGACACCATTTCCATCATGGTGCTTTGGCACACTGTGGGATCTGGCCAGGTGTCATCTGAAAGCTGGGATTGAATCCAGTTTCCCATTGCTACCCCTGTCAGCACCACCACACCACAGCTGATGAGATTTGTGCATATTCTGTGGAATAGAATCATGGAATTGTTAATGTTGGAAAAGACCTTGAAGACCATCAAGTCCAACCATCAACCACCACCACCATGTTCACCACTAAACCATGTCCCAAGTGCCACATCCATGGGTTTTTTGAACACCCCCAGGGATGGCGACTCCACCACTGCCCTGGGTGCCTTTCTAATGCCTGACTACCCTTTCCATGAAGAAATTTTCCCTAATATCCAACCTAAACCTACCCTGAGGCAACCTGAGGCCATTTCCTCTTGTCCCATCTCACTTGTTACCTGGGAGAAGAGACCAACCCCACCTGGCTACACCCTCCTTTCAGGGAGCTGTAGAGAGGGAGAAGGTCCTCCCTGAGCCTCTTCTCCAGGCTAAATCCTGTTTCACATCTATAAAATACTGCAGTGCTTCAGGAGTCAGAGCTATTGCAGCAGTGACTGCCTAATTACCAGTTGTGCTGCTTAGATCAAAATTCAGCCTGTAAACAGACACTAACTCCAAACACTTTATAATCCAAACCAAACCAAGTGTATCAGGAGAAGCCCCATGGAGTTGCCTCACTTGGTGTCTTTTTTGGTTTGAAGCTGCAGTCCCAGGTGGGAGAAGGAAGGTGTTTCTCTGTGAACTGCTCAGAAAAGGCGAAGGAACAGGCCCTGCAGGTCCTGAAGCACTTCAATGTCCAGGTGGCCCTGACGGATATCTTCAGCCGCTGCCAGGTAGGACGAGGCAGATTGAAGCCTCAGGTGCTGCTCCCTGCACAGCACCCACTGCTCTGCTGTTTTGGGGCTTGCACTCAGTGTCCTCTTCTTGGTTCTTAAGGGTTCTACTTGGACTTCAGCAGCTTCTTACAAAGCCTGAGGAGCTCTGAGGGCACTCGCAGCCACCAAAGTGCTGGTGGCACAAGAGAGGAGCAGGGGCTGCAGCTGTGGCTTTGCTAGAAACTCACCCTTTTCTCTGATTTTTGGTCGTTGGCATGTGTTTTGGCATCAACTATGCTAGTTCTAGTCTCTTTGTTACTGTGTTCTCTGTCTAGGACACATGCTGTTTTAATTATAAACCGTGTTTAATTATGGCTCTGTGATTCTGATAACACTTAATTACTTTAATAGGAGGATTTTTTCATAGGACTGTTTTTTTTCTCATAAGCTATTAGGTTAATTCATGTCCATGCTAGTTGATGACTCCAGATTGTGTTTGGCACTGGATATCTGTGGATTCTTGTTAAGAATAAATTTTAATTGTGTTAGCTCAAATCACCATCTCTTCCAATTTCACTCTTGTATTTGTTACAGCAACAGGCTGAAACCTATCCCTGCAAAAACTGTAACATAAACCAACAGGCAGTTCAACATCTCTCAGCTTATCAGTGCTTAAAGAGAGAAAAAGAAGAAACTGCAAGTTGGCTAGAAAAGGAGCTTTCTCTTAGGGATAAACAAGGCAGAGTCTGGCTCGGTGCCTTGTGGTCAAGCTCCAAGGTCTCCTGGCCTGGTGGAACTGCATCAGTGGTGTGGGAGCAGCACTGACTCCTGAGCAGACACACCAGAGAGTGTGTCCTAGTCCTCTGCCTATATCTGCTGTCAATTGTTGAAACTGGATCTGTAACTTACAGAGAAAATGAGAGTTGTCCAGCTGGGCAGGTTGTCTGTGAGAGGAACTGACAGAACACACTGAGGATCAGATCCACAGAACATGGGTTGGTCTTACTGCAGGATAAATGCACATATTCAGATGTAGGATCCTGCATTCAGCCCTGTGGTTTTATTGCCCCAGAACAGATTGCAGTTGTTGTATATAGATATGTTTATAGTGGCACATTGGCTTCTCGGCAATTCTAAACAAACCTTTGAAAACCTCATGGATTCTCTGATTCCCTGTCAGCCATAAAAGAGCAGTGTTCCTCCTGGTGGTGTGGAAATGCCAGGAGAAGAGGCACACAGACACAGAGCCATGCTGCAGGGAACTCTGCACTCTGTAATGAGCTCACTAAGGCTGTGCAGCAGCCGAAGGAAAGCTGAGCCCTCGCCCAGGATCTGGGGTCTGGAACTGGTTAACTCGATGGCTTTAGTACATGCTGGCTTAGTTTACAATATAAATAGGGGTAATCAATCTGGCTAGGAATATATACTAAGTGTTCTCTTACTTCCAGGAGAAATGCCTTCCCTGTAAGCTGTGGTGGTGGAGCAGCTGCATGTTTTATACCCCTCGGCATGGGAAGATGCTGATTTGTCAAACCATTCCATGTTCTGAATCATGTATTTACCTACATTTAAGGCTTTGGTGTTTGGGAGCTGGTTTTGTTCAGCTGTCCTCTGCAGACAGCACAAGTTTGGCTGATACGTTGCTGATGCTCTGGAGGAGAATCCAGGGTCTTTCAGCTGCTAATGCCAAGAGACTGAGATCCTCCATGGTCTATGTGTGAGAGGAGCAGTGAGCATACATGGAGCAGGATCAGCATTTCCTAGTTCCAGAGTATGTTATGGGTTTGGAATGGACCCTAGAGATCACCCAGTGCCAACCCCTGCCCTGGGCAGGGACACCTCCCACCAGAGCAGGTTGCTCAAGGCTTTAGCCAACCTGGCTGTGAACACTGCCAGGGTTGGGGCAGCCACAGCCTCCCTGGGCAACCTGGGACAGTGTCTCACCACCCTCACAGGAAACACTTCTTCCTGGTATCTCATGTAAATTTCCCTCTTTCAACTTCTCCCCATTGCTCCTTGTCCTGTCCCTGCAGCTCCTAACCAAGAGTCCCTCTGCAGCTTCCCTGGAGCCCCTTCAGCTCCTGGCAGGTTGCTCTGAGGTCTCCACACAACTTTCTCTTCTCCAGATTATCCTCCAGCCCTGCAGAATATTCACTGCCCATGTCAAAGCTGGCAGATTTCTGCTTTGAAGAGGCTGCTCTGGGGCCTCTGTGGCCAACAGAGACCTCAGCAGTTCCTTTGTACATCCTTTCTAAAACATCCTCATTCTCTGCAAACGTAATTGGGCTTAATTAGGATGGAGACTGTATCCTGAAAGTGCTGAGCTGTGCCTGCCAGGCTGCTCTGTGACCGGGTGACAGACCTCGGGGCTCCCCACCTACTATGGGCTCTGCCCTTTCCTTGCAGAGTGTGCATCACTAAGAGGTGATGGAGGGGTGACAAAGGGGTGGCAGAGGAATGGCAGAGAGGTGGCAGAGGTGTGACAGAGGGTTTTGGTTGTCCCTGCAGCGAGGGAGTGCGGGGAGAGTGGGAGCAGGGCTCCAGAAACACCCAAGTGCTGCTGTGTCCATGCTAGGCAGGAGGAGGAGGAGGAAGATGGGGACAGGAGGAAGAGGATGGGGAATACTGATCCATAACCTGGGCCACTCTCATCCCTCATCTCCCTAGGGCTGGGCTGCTGGTGTCTGAGCTCCAGCCACACTGCCAGCTCAGGGATGGGTTATCAGCCATCGCAGATAAGCGTTTGCTGTGTGTCACAGGAAGCAATGTGGCATCCTGCCTGCCTCCCTCTGTCTCGTGGAGCAAAGGCTTGTTTTGTCTCTTGGGCTTCTGTTCTGTAAATGACTGAGAGTGAATATGTCAGCAAATATTGTTGCTGTAACAATTAATGTGTGTAGTGCAGAGCACGTGTTAAAAATAGGTCCTAATTCAATGTTGTACCCAAGATTGCTGGAAAGTATGTTTCCTCTGTCAGCTTCCTCAGCAGAGCTGGACAGGCTTTCTTTTGCAGATGTAAAGAATGGTCTTACTTTGTAACCCTGCCAAAATACTGCTGGTTTTTCTGTTAAAACAAATGGCCAATGCTGGTTACCTCTGTCTAACTCAGAGCAGCAAGTGCACAGGGAATGTCATCCAGGGGCTTCTCAGAGTTTCTGCTCCCACTTGTGCTGGGCTTCAGGTTGGTCACTCTGGTTAAAGGCTCCAGGAGTGGGGACTGCTGCCAAAGGCATCAGTGGTGGTGCAGGAATGACCTCATTCCATGTGTCTCTCAAGTGCTGCATCATAAGGACTCAGTGATGGTCATGGAGAAGCCACCCCAGCCCAGTAGCTGTAGCCAGGTCTGGTGCTGCCTTTGGTGAGGAATGTTTTTGGAGGGCTGACCGAAAATAAGATTAATTCTGGGTTTTTGATGACATGTAAAAAAACCCTGAGAAGTTCTAAATTTCATAACCTTAAAATATTTGAAACCCATTCCCTCTATTTGAAATGCAAATGTCCTGTGCTGCCACCTCTGCACACATTTGACTATCTGCTGTGCAAAGATCTTGTATTTTTCTTCTTTTCACAAATCCAAAAGTCCCTCCTTCAGGCAGGGGCAATGTGAAGTGATGCTGGGGGTGCTCTGGCAGGATAATTCAGCACACTGAGCCCTTACAGTAGTCAGGAAGATCTTTGTGGAGTTGTCAGGGGCTGTTGGGGACAGTCTTAGTGTCAGCTCACAGCCTGGCTCACATGGGAGGTCAGTGATCCTCTGCTCTCCACGGCTTGGAGGAAGTTCTAACACAACTTGTGTCTAAGAAAGAAAAAAATACCCAAACCTGCTAAAGGTGGTGCTACTGGATGGCTACAGTCATGGGCACAGACATCTGACAGTTGGGTCATTTCATAGGGGATGAAATTTGGCTCCTCTCCCGGGTCTGTCCATTCATGGAGGTGATTGTCTCCCACCTCTCGTGGTGCTGCAGACAGGGTGTCCCTGCTTGGGGACATCCTTCCGTGACGCTTGGCTGGCAGGACAGCAGGAGGATATGAACTCCACTCCAGTCTCGTAAAGAAACTCTTGAACACAGAGATGTTTTGGCTGACTGGTGTGGCTTTTGCCACCTTGATTTTCCGTGCTGTCCAATTGAGGATGCACCCCAGGCCGGTGTGGACTTCACGGTGTGCCAGTGTCTCATCGCTGGCTGCTCTCTCAGTGAGCACAAGCTCCTGGGATGTTCTGTTTCCCCTGGCTGAGGTGTCTGGCCCTGAGCTCTTGTCAGTGCAAACCACTGGTGTGAAGCTGATAACCGAGGCGCAGGGCTGGCAGCCTCGGGGTGGGCAGTGCCACTGTGCAGGACTGAACAGGGAAATCACGGTTTGAACGGTGATAAACCGAGGAGATAACGCGCTGCGAGTCGTCAGCTTTCAGTCTTCGTATCACAAGGGTTTGGCACGATGGCTGGAAGGGAAAACAGCAGGTTCAGTGTTGTGTGGTCTCACCGAGAAATTCCTCCTGTTCTGGAAGAACCTTGTGGTTAAAGGTTTCCAACTCTGCTGGAAAATCCTCACTGGTGTGAGGCTCTGCAGCCAGATGCAGAGCCGGTGGGGCCTGTTTGTTGGGTTTTACTCAGGAGTGTAGCTGCTGCTCAGCTCAGTTCTGAGTCCGAAGCTTTGCTCGGGTAGGAGGGAGGGAGTGGGATGGGGGACACGGGTCCTGCCGTGCCACCCCCACCTCCCCTGGGCCTCTCTTTCCTTTCCCACCCTCTGTTTGACTTGACCCTTTAGCCTTTCAGCTGGCTGGGGCAGGGACCCTGCTTGAACAATACCTAACTCAACGGGAGGCTGATCCCAGGTGAGGTTTCAAGGCTTTCCTGCAAGGCAAAATGATTGCAATTATATGCCCTGCAAAAATAAATGTGTGGGGGAAAAAAAATCCCCAGCTCCAGCTGCAGTCGGTGCATCGGAACAGCCCTGCACTGATGGTGGGATTAGCTGCAGAGTCAAATAGGTTGTCTCTTGCACTTTGCTGAATGCTC